AAAATTTTGTTACAACCGTAGCCTCAGTTTGTCCCAAAAGCTACCAATTGTAGCCTTTTCTTCCACTATGTACAGTTGGAGCGATGCAAATAATAAGATTAGGATTTTTTAGTGACTTCTTGCAACGTATAATGTCGTTCTCCACTGTTTTCATCTATTCATAATCGCTGTCATTTGTTACAAAAAAGTGACACTCTTCGTCACTGTACATTGATGTTATCAGAGTAGGGGGCATGCTCTAATCTTACGTTATCTCAAGCTTCTAATGATAAAATCATTTTTGTCAGTAGCGTTTTACCTGCTTAGGGCTGTTCCTTGTTGTGTTCCTTGAAAGCGAAAATTAGTGCATACGGAGCATTCTCCAAGTAATAGTAATTTCACTTTTATGTACCAATTACTGCAATTACTGCAGCATTTCGTCAGGCCTAATTGCCTAATCTTTAGAGGCAAACACCTCTTAATATAAAGTATGCATAAATAAAACGTTTATTCATTGAATACAATCTAAAACAAAGCACAACGTACATGTACACACTTATTTCTACGAAAAGCCACAAAAACTTTGTAAACTGAACCACTCAGCTAACTACATACATCGCAATTCTAGTGTTTGTGGTGGACCTGGCGCTGGTTGGATCCTGGACCAATCGCAACCTAGTTACCGTATCTCAGGCTGATATAGCCGGGCAAATAGATGATGCAAGGTGGTGCTGAAAGCGATCCTAGCAGAAGACCAAATATATGAAAAAGCTTACATCGATAAATTATGCATAAAGTTGAGGGATTTTCGCAATAGGTTGCTTTTGCTTAACTAAGAAAGTATAATTCTTTCGCCTTCATGAGGCACGAGAAGGTACCATTTTCATATTTCCTTTGAATAGTTAATCTGTACTTTTATCATTGAGTAGCAACTTTGAACGCTTTTTATGAAATTTAAGCTTTAAGGAGGAGATATCCCGGAAATGGTTACCAGCGTTTTTACCACCAAAACGCTAATGTGA